AGTTAAAGGTTAAAGACTGCCTGGATTTTCTGCTCATCTCAGAGAGATGCTGAAGCTCGGAAGTGGTCCTTCAGCCAAGAGGACCCACAGGAAGGTGGTTCTTGGGCTTTCCGTCTGTTCAGGTCTGCCCTGCACTGTGGTTGTTGAGACTTCTGATCCTCCTTGATATTTCAGTCTTCACAATGGAAAACATCACTAGTCTCTAAAAAAGCAGTAAAGTTTACAGGTTTATGAAAACATTTTCATACTAAATTAATGTTGGGCATGATGCAGGAGATTTCGGTCCCCTCTGTCCAAATGACAATTGAACATTCATAGATTTAATCCAGAAAAAAAATTAATTAGCATCTCACCTGGCCTTCCTAAGTCATTTTTGTTTGATTAGAGCATGTAGTCTTGACAAATAGAAAAATTCTTAAAAAAAAATAGCAATTAATGAAGAAGGTATGACAGATCTTGCTAAATTCATAAAAAGATGAATTTAATCTTTGTAAAATTTGCACCAGCTTCTACATTCCGACTTCTTTAGTTACAATTTCTAATCACGGGTGAAAACAGACCTTATACTCCTAGATTAACAAGTCCATCATCAAAACTTTTCTATTTGCCTAGTTCAAGACTCCGATGAAATGATCCCCCAGCAAACTGCCTCATCTTTGTGAGTCACCCAGTATAATGTACATTGTTTCAACACTGTCATCACCCACACAGAAAACTCTTTATATTTGAAGATTTTCCAATTTACTGCCACTTTCCTTGCACAGAGGCTGGCTATCTCCTCTCTTCACAAGGATGAGGGCATGGAGGGGACATCACCTCCTCCCTTGGGCGTCAGGCTCCCGAGGGACCGTGTCACCCACCACCGGTGCCCTACAACGGTTCTGCCGTGTTTAGCTGACTCATAGGCACTACTCTAATCAATGGGATGAATAATAATAGCATAAAAATAGGTCATTCTTCTTCCTAATTCAATTACCTGACTGCAGCTCAGTCTTTATTCAGAGCTGTCAGCCTTAACCAAGTGGCCAGGTGCCAGTGGCACTACTGCTAGCTCTGAGTTTTGACGAGGAAAAGGAACGTGAGAAATGTCACAACCGAAGCCACACAAGAGTAGAGGTGGGCTGGTGGCTGCAAACATCTCATCAGCCATCTAATGGCATCCAAAGACCATGAGGATGTATGTTACCAGCTGCAGGATTTGTTGGCTGCATGCTTTTTGCAAATTTTCTTGTTGCCATCTTGTCCTCTCTCTACAGCCCAAATACAAACCTCCCTGATGCAGAGCTTCCCAAGAAACCAACCCCTTGAAAACACAAACAGCAATCTGTGCCCTCCAGGCTTTTGCACTAACAATAAAGCTTTTTTTTTTTTTGGAAAGGTTTAGAAGCATGAGTGAGGAAGTACAAACTTGTTTCCAAAATATTACTAAAGATACAGGATTTGGATGCAAAATCCCAAGAAACATAGCAGGCACCGCAGTAGGGGCTGAATGGTAACGTTCAACTTCTATTGCCACTTCCAACCAACCACCACCCTCCCAAAGGAAATGCAAATGGAAGGTGTGAAAAAAAAAAAAACCATATGTGCCTAAGATTTTTTTTTTAAACCTTTGAAAGCGCTTGCGTACACGAAGATCACAAGGCTGTTCGCGATGCAGATTTAAAGGGCTATAAACAGCTGGTAGTCCTGTCACTGCAGTAATTACATTACGGTTTTTTTGAGATTTAAATCCAGTTATTTCAACATTGTTTCTATTCAGTTCGTCACAGTGGGATCTCTAATTTGTTCGATGTAGGCGACAGCAGAGTAGTCTATCTTGGACTAATTAGCCCTCTTGGAATTGAGCCGTGCGCATTACGCGGCACAAAGGCGAGCGTGAGAGTTGTAGGTTCTCTGCCTTCAGAGTGCTCTTGCGATGATAAAATCTACTGCAGGATAAACATTTTCATTTTTCTAAGATTACTTTCAGCACTGGGTAAAATCCTGCTCGTGAATTACAATTAAAAGTGGTAAATAACTCGGGGTTTTCGAGGGAGGAAAGGTAAACAGAAACTGCGCAGATGTTGGTATTTATATGGAAATTATGTTGAACGCCAACTATTTTTTTCCCCTCTAAGAAGCTAAAGTTGTGACAACACTGTAAAAACATTGGGAAACTACTCTAATAATTTCATATCATCAATAAAGACACTTTGGTCTGATAGAATAATCTCAGGTGGAGACAAATCTCAAAATCTCTGAAGGTCATTGCTCTTTTTTCTGGGTGAAAATGGTTTTATTGAAAGAAAAGCTACAAGTCCAGAGTGAAGCGCACGTGAGAAGCTTATTTCAGAGAGATGCAATTGCCACAAACTTGTCAAGTGCAGAGGGAAAAGTCTCAGACTGTGTTTAACCCCCATTTACACCTGGATAAAAGCTGGCTGCCGCCCAGGGGAGCAGTCACACCTCTTCCCCTCCTAGGCCACCTTCCACATGGGTGTGACCATGGGAAACTGGGCACAGAATGTCCTCTGGTGGTGGAAAACTAATGGGATCACTATTGTCAGTGCTTGCAGCAAGTGTGCAACCTCGGGGTTGCATGGAGATGCTCTACTCCTGCCCAGCCACAATAATCCATCCTTGGGGGCACGGTAAATTAAACTCATCAACCAGCCTGCCCTTACAAAAAAGACCATTGGAAAATGTTTAAGGGTGTGCTAGCAATGAGCCATGAGAACCTCAGAGCCGTAACCATCTCTACCTCCACAAATCCCAAAGACATCAGGAAAGAGGAAAAAAAAAAAAGAGAATGGAGGAGACTATGAGACTGAAAAAAAAGCAACCACAAGATCCTACCCTGGAGCCTAGGGTACAGCTCCTGCTAGATCCAACTGAATCTGGGGGCACAGATGAGCCATGAGCAGTGACAGAGCACATGGTGACACTGCTTCTTGTACCCACAGCCTCCTTTGCACCAGGTTGTAATGTGAAATAACGTCCTCAGATCACTGGGATTTTGATGTCCACTTTCCATCTCAGTAGAGGAAGCTGTGCCTGCATCCCCTGCCTGGACGACAGCTGGGTGTTCACTTCATTTTAGTTTTGTTTTCTAAAACATGACACAAAGTCCTCTGTTGCTTTAAAAGCACATTTCACCTGCTAAAAGAGCTTTTCCAGAGAACACAGAATAATGATGACAACAAATGATCCCTTCTCTTCCTTCCAGCTGCGGGGGGCAGGCAGAAGGGAAGGAGAAGGCTGTGACAATGGTGTCCCATCAGAAGGACACAGGGCCGTTGGGAAGCACGAGTGGGGAGCCCTTGCCTCTTCTGCAAGAGGGGCTGCAAGTAGGAAAGTTCAGGAGCATCTATAGGAAACAAAGATCCCCTACTCTGGGACTCATTAATGATACTAATCCTGCTGCAGAATAGTATCCACCAGGAGAAGTCCTAAAATACCAATGGTCAGGAGGCAGAGCAAGTTAAATCTGCTCAGTACGCTCTTGCACAGCCCGAACAGTTGTGCTTTGTCAGGGGTCTGAGATTTCCAATATTAATTACAGTTATGCTGAAATAACAGATATGTGACACCTCTGTCATTATAAAAATCTTAAGAACTTCCAAACAGAAAATTACCCGTGGCTACAGGAAGGCAGACGAGTTACAGAAAGGAAAGATTCTCTTGGGACAAATTTATCTTTCATGAGTAACCACTAGAAGAGGGAAATAGTAATTCACTTGAATAATTAATGAATATATTACAATATTATGCTTTTATTACTCATTAAACAAGCATAAAAATCGATCTTTAATTATAGTTTAAGGAGAAAGAAGCAGTGAATTAATTTTATCAGCTCTTTATCATTCACGTTTTGTGGTTTGTTTACTTATGCTTATTTAGCTCTTCCTAAAACATCCCACTATGGATGAGATATGGCATGACTCCGTCACACCGTAACAAACGGCACGGATGTAGCGATGGAAGTTGGTACTCTCCAATGCCAAGCATGCCAACAGACTTGAGATGGGGGCTGCACCCAGCTTTCCTGCTCCCAATCGCACTCCCCAGGGAGCAAAAACCATATATGTGCTTCCCAGTGTGGAAGACATCAAAGATTTTCTTTCTGGCTTCCTGCAGGTGACCTGTCTAGTTGTTTAATAGATTGACTTTTCAGTAGAATAACGTGGCTTCAAATAAACACGTATTTAAAACCAAAAGGTAAAGAGGAATGCCAATCAATCAAATAAATCTTTTTTTAGTCAAATGAACTAAGTAACAGCCAGACACCAATGAAAAGAAAAGAAAAGAAAAGAAAAGAAAAGAAAAGAAAAGAAAAAGTAATTTGTTTAACATCTTGTGCGTAGATAACATTTACAGAGGTGCTATTGGGAGGGAGCTTCTCAGAAAGAATCGTTTTACTCGCTGGATATTGAGTTTGTTTGCCAGTAGGGTAATAAAACCACCTAATCAACTTGAATTAGGAAATCACAGAGTTGAGATACAGTGATTTAGCAAACAAGAGTCCTTTCACAGCCAGCTCCCTGCTGACAGCTTCATGAGTCAAGCGGCAAGTCCACACCTGAAGCTGCTGAGAAGATCGTATTGGGACTCCTCCTCCCAAATCCCACCTGTCCCCCTACCTGTCACTTCTCTCCCCAAACTGGTCTTTCTGTGAGCTGCAAGAGGTATGACATACCATTTATTGCTGCTCTACAACCAACAGCAACTTGCATCACAGTGAAGAACACAACTGCACGTGACAATGACCAAGAGTCCCCAAGGAAGACTCCCCACTGCTGCAGACCTTGGAGAACACCTTCATCCCCACCAACCCATCTCTGTGCTTCAGAGAATTTCTGCTTTGAGCATTCAGACAGATGCTGGAGCGCTGGTGGATGAAACAGGAGCACTGGGTCTAATTTTTTTTTTTTTTTCCCCACAAAGTTCTTATGGAAATACTGCAGACGTGGCAATATTTCAAAGCCAGCTACAGACCTGTTGCTGGTCACAATTCAACTCACCGCTGAGCGGGTCAGGAATGGTGTATTGCTTTTTTCTGCTTGAAGTGGATGTTGAGGAAAGCTTGCGAAGAAGAGGTCCTTGGGTGCTGGCAGGAGCATCGCTCTGCTGGGCTTTCCTCAGCTGGACCTTCTGTTCGAGTTGCTTCAGCCTTTCTTGGGAACGAGAGATGAACTGAGGCTTGTGGATTTCTAGTGCTTCCTAAAGGAAACAAAGAAACTGCTTTGTTTAAAAAAAAATTAACAGGAAGAAAAAAATGTGATGTGCATCTAACTGGGTTCAGTAAGAGATTGTCAGTGAAAATGGTTCCTGGAGATGTTCAAGAAACGTGTAGATGTGGTGCTTAGGGACATGGTTTAGTGGATTAGGTGGTGTTGGGTTGACGGTTGGACTTGATGATCCTTGAGGTCTTTCCAACCTTAATGATTCTATGAAAATTAGCAAACTGCCTTCCTATTCGTCTTTACTTCCTTTTACTGTGAGAAAGCTGCCTTGGTGTGAAATTTCCAGATCAGACAAAGGAGAATATTTCTGAAAAAAAGTTTTGAATTACATATTTTTATAAGTGATCCAAATTCAAATTCTTGATGTTTTGCCTATTTCCTTGTCTCACCCCATTGCCGAAGCGGCTTGTCACTGACAGTTCACAAACTTTCCTCCAGATCAGGCAAAGGAGAATATTTCTGAAAAAAAACCACCCAACTTTAAGAAAACATATCCAAAAAGTTTTGAATTACATATTTTTATAAGTGATCCAAATTCAAATTCTTGATGTTTTGCCTATTTCCTTGTCTCACCCCATTGCCGAAGCGGCTTGTCACTGACAGTTCACAAACTTTCCTGTTTATTTAGATTGTCACGCAGATCTTTTCATGGATGAGCTAGAAAGAAAGCGCTTCCCAGTCAAAAGCTGCTTCAACATTTAGGAATGTCTTAGGACAGAGCAAGATTGGTCTGCAACACGTGTTGGAGGAGAAAGCAAGAAAGAACGTCTGCTGGTGGGGCTTGGTACCAACGTGGGGTCATGTCCATACCTACAGCTTCCACTCATGGTACTGGAAGTTGTGTGCATCTGGGAAATTCACAGTTTCGAGGTACAATTTCAAAAATGTCTTTGGGAAATTTGTGCATCCCCAAATTTTTACCATGTTCCTCTACAGGAATGGCAGGCGGGGCTTAGAACGGGGAGCTTTTACAACCAGACCACCAAGGAAGTCTTGGCAAGTGATGGAAGCTACCAAAACTTTGCTGGAAAGGAGAAAAATCAAGGAAATGTGAACTTCTGCTCTCAAGTGTTTCCCAGGAAGCAACCACCATCCATGGGGAGAAAAAAAAAGAAAAAAAAAGAGAGGAAAAGAAAAAAATTTAAAAAGAAAAATAAGAAAAAATAATAATAAAAAATAAATCAATCCAGGTATTAACAACAACAATAATGACAAATTGATGTTCTACCCTCAGCGTCCGCGGGGCTGGTGGAATTTCCTCAGGCTGGGTGCCGCTTTCTGGCTGGGCGAGCGTGTCGTTTTTCTCACGAGTAACATCTGGCGAGCGAGCCCCGGATAG